ATTCTTGCTCTGGCATGGTGCCCCTTTTTGAGCCCTTGTCCCAGCCGATCGCAGCTATGCCTCCACAGCGGACCCAGGGGGCAAGAGCTTGCACTAGAACTAGAGATTTTTTATTTCTGGGGAGATCGCTGAGGTTGGCTGTGCTGCATGTGGCCGGCATCTCATCTTCTTTCAGGAAGGGCAGGCAGGCTTCCTTCAGCACCTCACTGGAGCTTCCAGACAGGGCCGGATCACCCCAGGAATCCTCACAGCACCCAGCTCAGGCCAGCCAGGACTTTATTTCAGGTGGAAAAAGGGAAGTATTTGGAGTGCAGCAAAACCAAATTCAAATCTATCACCTCCCCACTGTGTGGTTTCAAGGACATCACCCGACCCCTCTGAGCCTGTTTCCTCCTAAAGACAAAAAGCCGTACTTGGAGTGTTGTGGGGAATGACAAGGAAAATGAATGAGAATGTAGTAGAGAAACGCTGAAGCGTGAGACGGATGAGAGAGGTTGCTTTCTGTCACCTTGAGAGCCGTGCTGGCCAGTCCCCACTTGCTCTGCCCCGAGATGCATTTTCTGCCATGCTCTGTGCCCCAGGAGCCTCGCCTCTGTGAAGAGTGTCACCCAGGCCACCCTGCCCTCTGCCTTTCAGTCCACGCTCCAGGGTGCAGTGCCAGCAGGAGATGCAAGCCCTTGGAAGAGAGAGGCTGGAGATGTATCGCAGTCTCATCTGACTCACACCATTCTGGCGCTGGCTGTGATGTCTCCTGGCCACTGCTCTGTCCAATGGCTCCCCTCTGTCCTCCCCTCTTTTTTCCTTTTGAGCCCCAAAGTAGCCACAGATTTCTTCCCCTGCTCCTAACATCCAGACCCCTCACTATCCTTGGTTGTTCTTCTCAACCCTGCCTCTTGCTCCCCAAATTCTTCAGTTGAGACTCTCTGGCGTTGCCAATTTCCCCACACCATGCCAGACCCTAAGTGGACCAATCAGCATCTTCCCTCTTCCGTCCGGGGTCCCACGCCTTAAAGATGTCCCAGGCTCCCAGCTCTACAGTCTCTACTTGCTAAGTCTCTGTGGCTTTGGGTCACCAGTGGCATGAAGGTGGAGAAGACTGGCTGCCCATCTAGGGGTCCCTGTGTGGAAGGAGCCCCGGGCCATGCCCTTCTGCTGCCAACACTCCCAGCAGGCAGAGGGGTATCTTGACCAGGTAAGACCTGCCTGGGCCCTGTGACCTAAGCGCAGCCGCTAGAAGACTCAGGCCAGCCTAGGCCTTTGTTCCTTACACCTGGAGCTCAGAGCCTGCTTTGCCTGCGAGGTGGAAGCTCTGGTTTAATTAAGGATCTTAGAAGAGTATTCTCTCTTGTTATTTTCTGAATAAATTAAGGAAATAACTTTGATGCAATATCATTTTCATCTAATCAGGAACATTCTGAAATTACCATATTGTTTTCCATTAGAAACCCCATCAGCCCCCAAATCAGATAACCAGGCTGGAGGCTGCCAAAGCCCCTCTGTCCTGGGGCGAGTGTGCACTGTAGGGACGAAAGGGGACTCACTGCTCCTGCCACGATCCCTTGTTGAATTCCTGAGATTGCTCATGGCTGTTATCAGGGCTACTCAGCCTTGACCAGAGCTGGGGTGGAGTCCCCCACGCACAGGAAAAGGAGGGATCCAGGGACACCTGCAGAGACACCTGGGTTGGAGCTCAACCCATCCAGGTGCTCCTCGGTAGTTCAGCGGAGAAAGAGTCAGGCCCCTCAGCTGCAGCCCCTACTCCCACCCCACCCCAAGCAGTCTCACAGAGACAACAGGAGGGGGCTCATCAGGCCCCAGCTGGCATTAGGAGACCAAAAGAAGGGGAGAACTGTAAGAAAAGCCTGAAGGCCGCCCATGAGAGGTGGAGCCAGAGACGGCTGGGAGTTTGCAGTCTCCCACAAAGCTGGTTTCTCACCCTTTCAAAGCATCCTGAAGGCTTGAGCTGAGTGGTGTCAAGAACTGTGGGTGAGAAGCACGTGGAGGAGAAGATGGACGCATCCCTGGGCTGGAAAAGACATCACCACCCAGTCAGAGGTCTCCTCCACCCCTTCACAGCGGAGGCCAACTGGAGTCCAGAATACAACCTGGGCCCTGCCGGAGATCCACTCCAGCTCTGAATCATACGTATGGTGTCTCAGGGTGCTCTGAGATAGAACCAGGAGCGTCCTTAAGAGAAGGCTATGGCTTTTCAGGAGTGCTTGGTGATAGGGTCAGATTCTGTTGGCCAGTTTGTCCCTGTGGTAATGCCCCATTGTCCTCAGGGGACACATTCCAAAACCCCTAGTGGGGACTTGAAACTGCACCTGATACCCCATTTACATATACTAAAGAATCACTGATGGGCAGGTAGCATCTACAGTGTGGATACCCTGGGCAGACAGGTGATCTCACCCAGGTCAGGCAGAGCAGACAGTGTGAGATTTCATCACACCACTCAGAAGGGCTTGCGATTAAAAACTTGTGAATTGTTTTTTTTAATTTTCCATTTAATATTTTCAGCCCATGGTTGACTTCAGGTAACTGAAACTGCAGAAAAGGAAAGCAAGGATAAGCGGGGGCTATGGTATTCTTTTATTCAGTCTTCATGATTTAACACTTGTTTTTATCACCCAGGCCCCCTCCCCCTCTCTCCCTCCTTCCTTCTCCTACCTTCTCCCCCCTCCCCTCCCTCTTTGTCAAGTGTCTGCTCCGCCACCCTCACCCCTTCCATGCTTCAGGCCCTCAAGAAGCCAAGTCCCTTACCCAGAAACCCAGCAGGGACAACCTCCACCCACCCACCATACAGGTTCTGCCTGGCTCTGCTTCTTCCAGTGCCAAAGCAGGAAGCTGAGAGGGTGAGTATCTGGAAGGGCTCTGAGACTCTCATCCCGCTCCTGACGCTGCCCTAGAACCAAGAGGATGTGACCAGGCGTTGGCATCCATCCAAAGCCAGTGTGAAGAAGGAAAATGAGGGGGTGGAAGAGAATGACAAGGAGGAGGAGGGCAGCTGTCACATGACAGAGGAAAGTGTGAACGTGAAGGAGGATGTGGCTGTGAACAGGTGGGGAAAGGTCCAGGGGGTATGACCCCAGGACAGAGTGGCAGCCAGCCCAGGAGTCTCAGTGAGCCCCGGATCTCCGAGTGTTCTGTTGAAAGTGTGAGTCTTTCTTCCATCTCTGGGCCCCTGAGCTCATCAGAAGGCCAAGCACACAGAAAGCCCAGGGAACATTCGCTGACTGGAGAAATGATGCAAAGAATGACACACAGAGATACAGCCAAGGTGTCCTGGATAAGCACAAGAGAGGAGAGGCCTCTGCACAGCAGCTCAGAGCCACAAGGCCAGTGAAGAGGCCACCAGGAGAAAGGAGAATGGACTTGGGGGCTTTGGTCCTGCGGTAAGGGCTGTCTGGCCCCATCTCCTGCTGGGTTTGGGACTCCGCTCCCTAAGAGGGAGCATGAACAGAGACAGCTAGGGGCTCACAGGGGGATCCACTTGTTTGTTATGCAGAGGCCTTCAGAGTGCTCTTTGTGCAAATCTCTCCATGAGATCCCCTTGCCCAGCTCTGAGTGTGGGGAGGGGAGTGAGGGTGGTGGGTGTAGGCATGGACGGGAGAAAGAGTAGGACGAGTGGAAGAGGGGATAGGCCAGGGTGTAGGGCAAGGGCCTGTGCGTACTTCAGAGGTGAAGGGGACAGACAAGCAATGACGGGACAGAGCACCAACTGCAGTGACTGCTAACCAGGAGGCTTAGGAGCAGCTCCCACTGCTGCTGCGTGGCTCACTTTCTGCTCCAGCCACTCAGCAGAGTCCAGGGTGGGGTATTTTCTCCTAGAGAACCTGCCCACGGATTTCCAGCACCATCCCCCGCCCCCCCCCAGGGCCACTGTGTCCACCCCCTTGCCTTTGACAGCCCATCTTCCCACAGTGTGACTCTCCGGAATCAATCAGAAAATGAAGTTACCAAGAGGTGTTTTATATATTTGGCTTGGTGAATATTTCCCACAATCTCCTCTGGTTTTTCTGGCTGTGATTACCAAAGCGGGACTTGCCAGCACGCTGCCAGACACACAGTAGGCATTCTTTGCTGGCCCACGCTGCTGGGTCTACTTCTTCCTCATTTTCAACTCCTGGTCCCAAGCTGAGACAGACCTCCAAGATCCCTAGACCATTTAAGAGGAACAATTTCCTTTCTTTCTAGACCACAGTTGCATTCCTCAGCACCCGCTGCACTACCTCCCTACTGGTCCCTCAAATGTCTCACCCCCATGGGCCCTTGAGATCCCAGAGTTCACTAGAGGCTGCTTCCAGAGAGGTATCCAGTTCCCTGCCTGCGTCTGGTTGGGACCCAGCCAGCACACTGGGACGCCCCTGCCATGGCTGGCTGAAGCTTGTTGTCTAACCCGGCCTGTGGGTGCCTGGGAGCAGGCAGGGAGGGTGGCCTGGCAGGGCTTGGAGAGCAGGCACACCCTGGGTGAGGTCAGGCCTGCCTCACACCTCTGGTATTCCAGCTGATCGCTATCTCCCCTGCAGCTCTCAGGTTCCGCAGGCCAGGCGGCAAGATGCAGGCAAAGGGGTGCCGATACCACAGCCTAGCCCGGGCCAAGATGGCGGCTGTGGCTGAGCCCCAGCCTGCCTGTCTGCTGCCTCACTACCACCTCCACCCCACCTCCTGCCCCCCACCTCCACTAAATGGACAGAGACAGGCAGGGCTGGTGGCCTGCTCCCCAGCACAGTACCTCCACCAGGCTGAAGCCTGTTCTGCTGCTGGGTATCCTGGGAAGAACCCTCCGGAAGCCAGGCAAGAGGGATGGGGCCTGAAGCGGCAGGTCCCAGAGGGCTTCCCCTTGGGAACACACTTATCCCCACCCCATCCTGTGGGTCTCTTCCCCTCCATCTCAACCAAACTTTAATCATCTGATAACAACTGTCCATAAGGGCACCACATGATACATGCAAACTCTGGAGAATTAAAGGATGATCATCACAAACAAGATTGTCCTGGGAAAACCGGATTTATGGCTGCCTTTGATGAGCCCACGTCCTGGCAGAGCCTGAGGCTTTGGCTTGGGGTTCTCAGGAACCAGAGAAGGTCCAACACTGGATCCTTTCTCTTAAGAGAAGGGTTGGGGGCTCCATAGAGATAGAGAGGGCCCACAATGACAGCAGCTCTCAGAAGACTTCTTTATGTTTCCTGTTCTCTTATTCACCTGGACCCTCAGTCAGGGATACTGAGGCCCTAAGATAGTGGCAGACCAGGCCCTTTCAGAGGAACATGATTTCCCCTTCCATCTTCCCTTCATACCCCAGCACACACATTCCTCTGGCCTCTCTTTCTGTACACTGCAGCTCCAACACCATTTCTCCAGGGTGGTCCCCAGGTCAACAGCAGCAGCAGGATCTGAGGACTCACTCCTTACAGAAGCATGTTCTCAAGTCCCTGCCCAGAGCCTCCTCAATGAAGCTCCACAGTAGGATCTCTCAGGGTTTGCTGAATACTTTGTGTTGCATGATCCAGCTGAGAAGCCCAGCTCCACTCTTCTCCAACTTTACCGGATATGGAACTCACCTAGGATCACAATTCAAGTACAGGCTTGGGGTGCACATGCAGACTGGGACTCAGGAGGTACAGTACAAGACCTGATATTCTGCACAGAGCACTTCGTAGAAGCCACCCATGGGGGCCAATCCTGCTCATCCTCAGACCACACTTGGCTCAATACACCCCTGGCTCTCTACCTGGCTGTCCTTTAGAATCATCCAGGGAGCCTTTTAAAATATCAGTGCCTGGGCCCTGGCTCCAGAGGTCCCAATTCATTGATCTGAGGTGAGGCTGGGGCATGGGTAGGTTTTACAATCTCCCTAGGCAATTCTAACACATCCACGCTCTAGGCCGAGGGTGATGAGAGGGCATGCTTGGCGCACGCGCACACACACACACACACACACACACATCCCATGGACCTACTCACCCTCTGGGATCTCCTTCCCTCCTCGGCCCTCCTGATCTCCTTCCACATCTCCTGGCCCACACTGTAGACACTTTGCCAGGCACAAGCAGAAGCAAGTGAGCAAATAGGGAGGTACACAGGCAGACAGACTCAGACACACATAACCACAAGCAGGTACACAGTAAGCATGCAGTAGGCATGTGGGCAAACAAGTGCATGGACAGGCCATTTGTGTACATGCTGCAAATGCCCCCAGGTACACAGAGGCAGAGGAACATGCAAACACACACACACACATAAAGCTAACACAGAACATGCAAGAGTACACACCTGCCACCAAGGAATCAAATATCCCCTCCATACTTTCCCAGTGCTGTGACCTTGGACTCATCAAACCAGATGATAAGACCTATGGCTCCAGCAGTCCTGTCTGTCCCTGCCAACATCTCAGCATCCCTGGAGAGAGAGGTAAGCTAGCCCTCAATAATCGGGAAGACTGGGCATAGGGCTCTCCTCAGGTTCAGCACCTCTGGGGTTCTCTAGATTGGGTGCTGGCCTCCCCAGGAGCCATTAGTGTTCCAAGATCTCTCTGAGGGCCCTTGGGACCCATGTCTGCCATCTTATGCCCAGGTGGGTGAGGGAGCTGACTTTCTGGGGGCTGTAGGTATCTTCAGGCCCTCGGCACCTCACAGTGCTGCCGTGTTGGAGCCTCTTTTGAGTTTAAAATCCTGCACCCCCCACCCTGCGTGCTGGGGCCCTCCGCAGACAGGCCTGATTGATGACTCAGGGGGACTACGGCCGCCGCCAGCCTATTTTATGATGTCATTAGGCAGCTTCGGCAGTGGAAAGGAATCCCTCCTGACATCATAAAGGACTTGATATTTCGCTAATGTTATCTTGGCAGCGTGTCGCCCTGACATTTTCTCTTTGCAGCGCTCCCCCCAGGACCAAGAGTTGTCTAACTACAGCCTAGAAAAAATGCAAAACAGACAGATGCACCCTCGGTGGACAGCAGGAGAAAGCTAATAGACCAGTCCCGGGCTCCCCACCCGCAGAGGTGGTTTAGGTGGGAAGCATGATGTGTTTGTCAAAAGGGACCCAGGGCTGCTTTCCTGCTGCCATCCCTTCCTATCAGGGACCTGAGGCTCAGCAGCAAGAAGAGGCAGGTGCCAGGGTTTCAGAACCAGCTCACCCACCCAGGGTCACGTGATTTGCACAAATTCTTTGCCCTCCCTGGACCTCAATTAACCCATCCACTGTCCCACACTGGGGATAGGACGAGACAGTTTCAAAGACTGTCTTAGGCAATGCTGATGGCCTTGGTGCTTTAGGGGAAGGTGGTGATGTCACAGAAGTAAAGAGTGACCCTGTCCGAGGCTGAGCTGAAACTCCAGACCGCTGGGGCAAGGGTGGGAGTGTGCTGGGTGGAATGGTATACAATCCACCTCCCTCCGTAAAGGGTTTTGGGGAACAGAACATCAAGGTGTTTCCCTGCCTAAAGTTCACTGTCTTCAAATGACCAAGAGCAGCTACTAGCTCTGAGGCAAAATCGAAGCGGCATTAGTGCAAATTTCCTGTACAGATCTAGAAAGCAGAAGGCAGCAGAAAGAGGCCAGCTTCCAGGGTTGCTGGGTGGCTCAAGGCTAGTCGAAGGAGAAAGACCCTGGGGACCCTCCTAGATCCACCCCTAAAAGGATCTCAGGGCTGATCAACCCAAGTCCTCTCCCATCTGGGCAGAAACCACCCACTCCACCCTGACCCCCAAATCCCTAACTAATTGGCCTCCAGCTCACGGGCTGCTGAAGTGGGGAGCTCACTTCTCTCTCTGGCAGCCCAGCCCAGCTCCCCCCGAGTTTTGAGCTCTGCCTCCTGGACATCCTGGGATGTAACTGCTCCCTCTACCTCAAGATGGCCCCACAACATATGCACAAAGCCCTCCCCACCCTCTAAGCATGGGGCAGGGGGTAGGGCCAGGACCTGTGCTTGGTTTTCACAGTGGGATATTTGCATTCAAAAAGAACATAACTGCCCATTTCAAGCTGAGATTCACAGTTAGAACCATATTTCAAAACAATGAGTTTCCTTTATAACCCTATGTATCTTATTTTACGCATTTAAAACACTATTAGAGAATAGTCTTTGGGCTTCTCCAGGCAGCTAAAGCCCATGTTATTTTTTTTTTTTTTTAAGTTAGAATTCTTGTTCTACAATCCAGACAAAATCTATGTTTATCCAGGAGTGTTTCAGGTTTGGGGAGACTGTTCTGGCTTGGTGTCTCCAGCTCTGGGGAACCCCTCATGCCCACCTTGGAAGAAATGGTGTAAAAGTAAAGAAGGCAAAACCATTCTCCCACTCATCCACCTTTGCCTCAGCTGCTCTAAGACCCACTCTGAGGTCTGACCTAAACCATCATGTTTCTTCTTTGCCTGAGGGACTTGACCTCCAACTCTGATCTTGGACTTCGACGGCACCTACAGAGGGACATGGATCATTCCAAGAGAAAGGAGGACCAGACCCGGTCCTGGCTTCAGGATAGCCTCACTGGGTTGCAGAGACACATGCCAGTGGACCCAGCTGCCTGCCCTTCCTCAGCACCCCCAGCACTTCCTACAAGCCTAGCTCTGCCCATGCTGCTTCCTGAGCCCACAGAGCCCATCCCATGCCCTTCTAGAAGCCAACACTCCTCATCTGTTCAGTGACTGGCTGACTATCTGCCTTGGTCTGAGCTTATTCCAGGACCCAACTCCCTTACTCCCATGGAGAGGCCTGGCTGTATGGACACTTCCAAAAGACCACCTTGGCCTTCGATGCACTTGAAGCCATGGAGAAAGAGAGAAGCTGCCAGTGAGCGGGCAGCACTGACCCCTGGCTGGCCTGGGAGGACACACTGTTGGCTTCCTGGCTGTGGCAATAATCGGTGCCTGGGTGCTTCCTCCCAAGCTGGCTGTCCCAAGCAGGAAGACCACAGAGCAGGTTCCTCCCAAGGGCCACACTGCCTGGCCAATGAAGTAACGCTGGCACAATGCCCTTTCAGAGTTGCAAAAGAATGATAACCTTTGATTGCCCAAGATGGTCAACAGCCACTCCTGGGCTCTGCTACTGGCAAAATATGAGCAATTCATTTATTCAACAAGAAGTTTATTGAGCACCTATTATTTCCAGGCACTTTCCAAATGGTACAAAGGCAAAATCCCTGCTCTCAAGGAGCTTCCATTCTCTTCAGAAGGAGACAAGCAACACAGAATATAATACAAAAAAGTATAGTATAGAAGACTGCAATAAATTGCACGGATGAAAAAATAAATCAAAAAGAGCACAATGTTCCTCACCTCCACCGCAGCTCAAAAAGAAGGTGACCTTTGAGACCTGAAGGAGGTGATGGAGGGAGCCATGATAATACCTAGGGGAAGAGCATTCCAGCAAAGGACACAGCACAGGCAAAGGTCCTGAGGCAGGATGCATCTGACACTTTTGGGGACAGGCAGGAGGGTAGTGTGGTTGGAGGTAAGTGACATGTGGGAGAACAGTAGAGACAGTAACAGGTGGGGTGGGGCTTAATCATATGGAGCTTGAGGCCACTGTGATGACCTTGGCTTTTACTCCAGATGAGACAGATCATTGGGGGTTTTGAGCAGACAAGTGATATGACATGACTTCCACACTGAGATCACTGTGGCTGCAGTATACAGAACAGACTCTTGGAAAGCGGGAGGAGATGATGGGGCCTAGCCTGCTGCCTTGGCAATCACTGGATTCTGGATTTATTCTTAAGGTGGAAGGACAGAAGCTAGCCATTGCCCTTGGCCCTGGGCACCACCCTGTGAAACGAAGCCTCTTCCCTCATTGTACAGATTATAAAATTGAGGTCCCGAAAGGTCACACAGGCTACACATGGCAGATTCAAGCCAGACTTATTCAAGCATGAAGCCCAAGTTCTCCACACTCTGCTTCACTCCCAGCCTGGTCAGGATCCCAGCGAGGAGATCCAGCCACAGACCTCAAGGGAGGGGAGCAAAGTCAGGACACCCGCTGAGAAATTCATGCTAATTTGGAGCCATCCAGAAAATGTCCCTTGAACGTGCTTTCTCTTTATATTAAAGTTTAAAGGATACTATTAGTGTCCGCTATTTTATTTTTATGTATATACATTCCAACTTTTAATCAATTTTTTAAGTTCCAAAATCATTAGCAAAGGGAGAGGACCACAGGAGAAAGGAAGGAAGGGCAGACCTCCAGGGGCTGCAAGATCCACACTGGGGCACCTTGTTTTGCACCAGAATCAGCCTTCAGCCTGCACATTCCCAGCTCTGCTGAGGCCCAGGGTGCCAAGGGATGAATCTGACCTGGTCCCTGCCCCCAAAGGATGCTCAACAGACCATGATAGAGACACTTACAGTCAGCACAGGAGCAGAACCATGTCCAGGTTGGTATTGCCCAGCCAGAGATGCAGATGGGAGGAAGAGCACCTTAGGCCAAATCCCAGAAAAGGTCCAGCGATGGTGGAAGGCACTCTCATTAGACAAGCCAGGTGGAGGAGTCATGGGGCAGAGGGCATGGAAGCCCAGCTGCAGGTGTTCCAGCAGAGGGTGGGGCCGCCTTCCACCCTTGCTTCAGGAGGGCAGCAGGGAGGCCTGCCAAGAGAAGGAGGAGAAAGCTTCGGTTCCCAGCCTGAACTTCCCCCAGGGGCGATTATTCACAAGCAGTGGGAAGGCAACCACTTTAATTCAAATGGCCCAGGAGCCGGTGTGACTGGAACTGAGGCCACATGGAGATGGGATAGGGAGCCTCTCTAGGGAGCTTCTAAGGCTTCACCTGTCACCTCCACCGCAGCTCAGGGCCCAGCCTCTTCAAGTAGGTTGAAAAGTGGGAAGGAAAGAATGAGGGAGAGAAAAAGGACAGGGAATGAAAAGAAGAACAGAAAAAGGATAGGAGATGAGATAAGGAAAGAGAGAGGATGGGATAAAACAAGTTCCAAAGAGTAAACACGTCCTCCTCCAGGGGCACCATGCCCTGCTGTGTCAGGGGCAGCACCCTGGGAAACCCAAAGCCAAACTTCCCTCCCAACAGAGCCAAGGAGCCTAAGAGCTCAGGAACCTCACCCTCAAGGCAAAGACAGACTGCAAACCTAGGACTGCCACAGATGCACAAGAGTCTATTCCTGCTCATCTGGATACAGCCATGCCTGCATCCTGAGGCAGAGACCAACACTGTCCGGAGTAGAGGTACACACCCAGCAGTGCACCAACATACGAGCACCACCCCAGAGACACTCACTGACACAAGTACACGGGCAGACTTACAGATGTGTGTGAGACAGGGGCAAAGGGTGCTGGGAAGAACATGAATGCTGACACAGAGGGGCAGTGACATGGATGGATGCCACAGGAAGGCCTGGGTCATGTCCACAGACACTGACGGAGGTGTTGGATGCTCACCAAAAAGGACACACTCACACACACTGGAAGTGGTCCACAATGGATCACTCATCGATTCGGGTGGAAATAAGAGGACACTGACGGACACGTAGGCACGGGGTTTCACACCCACATATACTTCTTTATACGAACACAGGCACCCAGATATTGCCTCAGACACATGCACATACAAACACATGCTCAGAGACACGGCTGACATGCTCAGGCACTGCCAGTAACCAGGCAGACGAGCAGGCTGCTGGGCTCTGTCTGGAGGTCCAGCCCAGCTCTCAGCATCCCTGAGCAGATAGTCCTCAGGCCAGATCCTCTCCTGTCCCACTCCCACCAACTGCTGGCTTTGGCCAGCTTCCTGAAGCTTGGGCC